TCAAATGTCTTATTGTTTTTCAAGCATATATATATATTTTAAAACTAAAATTTTGGAATGATTTAAAAGTTGCAAATTTTTGGTTTATTTTTAAGACATTTATCACATTAATTTTAATTCATCTAATTCTATCGCAGGTATAATTCTGGGGAGTACTGTAGTGTGTCTACCACTGCAATTCCAATTCACTAGTATATAAGACATATTAACTCGATTCTATGGTGGTATATATAGCCTTTTCATAGATGAATGTTGACATTGTCAATATCTATTTTCCCCACACATTCAAACGTCTTAATTTTTTTCAAGCACATTGGGTTATTTCTCTTGCATTTCCTCTTCTTTTTTTTTAGCAACCTTGTGTATTTTGTGGCATAACTACCACTATAAATATTGAATACCAATTCTCTAGTATATAAGACACTGTTAACTTAAATTCGATCTTGAGGTATCTTTTAATAGATGACGGTTGACATAGTCTATAAATAAATCCCCTCAAACCATTTATTCTACAATGAATGTCCTAATATATTGTTTTGAGCCCAAATTTCTAAAAGGAGCAGTGAATGTATGTTGAATTATATATACATGGTATCCGCTCACCTGGAAAGTCATGAAAATTCATTGTAAGTCTTGAATTTCAGTATTGAACAAAATTTGTCATGAAATGTCATGATTTTTGTTATTTTTTTTAAAAAAGTCATGGATATAGGTCGTCAAAAAATCTAACTTTTAAAATGGAATCCCCCCCCCCTCAATTTCATCGTGTTCTAAATATCTGAATTCTTAACAAAATCACTACTGACACTTTTATTTCATTAGAATATAAAATGTCTTTATCATGTGCTTTAAAAATTATGGTGTTCTTTCAAAAAATGAAAGAAAAAACATCATTTCTAGAGCGAATAATCTTTTAAACTTCTGTGATTTAAGAATTTTTATTATTTATAAATTTTTTTATCAATTTAAATTTCAAGCCGAAGCAAGCCAAACATTGGCGATTTTTTAATTTCAAAGTGAGAACAGACAAACAAGGATTATTTCTTTCCTTTCTGATGAACAAGAAAAGTATCTTTAGAATATAATTCTGCTGAAAAAAAGAAAAAAAATTAATTGCTTTTGTATTTTCATTTCAGCTATTTTATTTCAACTCTTTCTTTACTCTGTTTGTCTAATTTAAAATCTATCAATATGAAGATGCAGAGTATAACAGTTTTGGTTATTATTATCATTTCAATGAATGTTATTATAGTGCTATTTACGTTTTTGTTGGAGAAAATAGTAACTTCAAGTCATGAAAAATTCTAGGAATTAGTCATGGAAAGTCATGAATTTGAAAATCTAAAATGTAGCAAATACCCTGTATATATAAATATATATTTTATACTCATATTTTGGAATGTTTATATATATATAAACATGCTAAATTTACATGGAATGTTATATATAAACATTCCATATTTAGTTTAAAATATGTATATATATATTTTTTTAAACAAAATTTTAGTTTAAAATATATGTATGCATTTTAAACTAAAATTTTGGAATGTTTTAAAAGTTGCAAATTTTTGGTTTATTTTTAAGGCATCAAGACATTTATGAAATTAATTTTAATTAATCGAATTCTATCGCAGGTATAATTCTGGTTAGGGAATACTGTAGTGTCGACCACTACAATTCCAATTCACTAGTATATAAGACATGTTAATTCGATTCTATGGTGGGATACCTTTTCATAGATGAAGGTTGACATTGTCAATATCTATTCTCCCCACACATTCAAATGTCTTATTGTTTTTCAAGCACATTGGGTTATTTATTTCTCTTGTATTTCCTCTTCTTTTTTTTTAGCAACCTTGTGTATTTTGTGGCATAACTACCACTATAAATATTGAATACCAATTCTCTAGTATATAAGACACTGTTAACTTGATTGGATCTTGAGGTATCTTTTGATAGATGAAGGTTGACATAGTCTATAAATAAATCCCCTCAAACCATTTATTCTACTGTAGGGTATCTACCACTAAAAAATTACACTTTACTAGTATATATGACATGCTAACTCGATTCAATAACGAGGTACCTTTTGATAGATGAAGGTTGGCATGGTCAATAACTACCAATCCCCACATTGGTGACCTACGGACGTGATGTGAACACGTCTACCTTGGCAGTAACGCCCACTTCGATTTGTAACGCCTACTTGGATGGATGGTCCACATTGAACAGTTGACTTTGCTACTGCGACATTGTCCAACTCCTCGCACTGTTGCTACTCAGTCTCGTCTCGATCACGCACAACGTGGGCTTGCATACACTCGACTGCTAACGGCAACACAGAAGCGACTACGATCGTGAAGTTAATACACCTCTAATATTCAGCACTCAAAAAGTACGGTGATCTTAATACAGCTCTCCCGGCTTCTCACAAATCAGCAATGAATCAACTAGTGGTATCCGCTCATCGAATTCTATCACAGATATAATTTTGGTGGGGGAGTACTGTAGGGTATCTACCACTACAAAATTGCAATTCACTAGTATATAAGACATGCTAACTCGATTCAATCACGAGGTATCTTTTGATAGATGAAGGTTGGCTTGGTCGATAACTTCGCCCCCACACTACAATGAATGTCCTAATATATTGTTTTGAGCCCAAATTTCTAAAAGGAGCAGTGAATGTATGTTGAATTATATATATATTTCTTCTATTCTAAATAAGATGTTGTGTTTTAGGGACAAACAGTTGGCTGTTACCCAGTTTCCTCAGAGTCTCATCACAAGGTGGAACTTCTGCCGCTCGACTGGAAGCCATGGTATTTCTTTTTTTTCTCTCTCCATTCGTTATGTTTTTTTCTAAGAAACAAGATAATCTTGGAAATTCCTCATCTTTTTTCGAAATTAGAGCAAAGAACCATAAGTTACAAGGTTGGCAAGTTTCTGCCGATGTGGTTAAAACCACTGGTAGAAACTGGTTAAAACTGGCATGGCAGAAATTCAGAAAATGAGGAATAAAAGTAAGTACTGAGATTGACATACAATGGATAATTCATAGAAAAAACAATTAAATGTTTAACAAAGTACAATTTATTTACGAAATTATCACCATTCAAAATCAAATATTACATTGTCTGCACTCTGCAGTAATCTATAACAAAAGACAAGTTTTGATGCAGTTTCTAAACCTAAACAATTTCTCAATTTGCTATGCCCAAACGAGAAATTTGAGAAGATTCTCTCAAGTCCAGCAGAACTAGCAGGCATTGCCAAGCAAGATTTGTGAAACTTTCATCTATTGCATATTTTTTAAAACTGGACCACCATATAGCAGCTGGGGTAGTTTTCAAAACTTGACTGGAAAAATAAGTTTCAGGAAATGGGGCCGATTTGTTTTATATAAATATTTGATATACTGCACTCTATATATTTAATATAAACAAAATAATATATATTTACAAGCAATGAATTAAAAAGTTTGTTGCAGTTACATGGAGTTGCATTTTTCAGTTTACTTAAACAAAATATCATTAAGCAACTACTAGAACTAATATAGACGTCTTTTTAGTTTCTGCCAGTTTTTACCGGTTATAACCAATTTTTGCCACTGGCATGGCAAAAACCAGTTTCTGCCGGCAAAAAGCCAACCCCGATAAGTTATGCTGCTGTCTTCGGTACATGGTGCTGTGTCGCTTACTTCTTTGCAGTTTAGTTTCTCTAATTGCTTTCTTTCAATCCTATAACTATTTTCTATAGAACAGGATTGCCACTCCAGAGAGAGAACAGGAAAAACCTGGAAAATACAGGGAATTTTTAAAATCACCTAAAATAATAGGGATAATTGCAGGGAATTTTTTTTTTTTACAAACTGGGAAAATACATGGAATTTTGTTTCTTGTCTTTTCAAAAATGGTGACCTCTCAAAGCGTAATCTATGGGATATTTCCCTTTATCCCATATAGATCCACAGTTCCCACTGGTCAGGGAGAACAGGGAATACCTGGAATTTTCAGGAAATTTTATTTTCACTTATAAGGAAATTTTTTAAAATTTTATTAAATTAGAGAAAGTTGCAATTTTTTGACAAAAATCTGGAATATTCTTATATCACAGGGTTGTCACTCCACAGGGAAAACCTGGAAAATACAGGGAATTTAAAAGTAACTTAAAATAACAGGGAATTCAAAAACACCTAAAATATCAGGGAAAATGCAGGGAATTATGATTTTTTTTCTTTACAAACTGAGAAAATACAAGAAATTTTGTTTCTTATTTTTGTCCCTTAAAAAATGGTGACCCCTCAAAGCGTATTCTATGGGATATTTAACCATGATATTTCAGCTATACTAAACTATTTCATTTACTACAGAATTATTGAAGTATGTTCAGCTGTTTTTCCAGCAATTAAAACTAAATTGCTGGAAAGATGAGCAAAAAAAAAATCTGCCCAACTAGTTTTGAGACTTCCGAGTAACAATGAACTAAAGGCTATGACTTTAATATACAATTTAGATGAGAGAATATTAGTTAGTGATCTATTTTATGTTACATGTTTATGTTATCCAGCAATAATAACTGAAAAATGCATAACAGTTTTAAAGGGTATAACATCAGTTCCAGTTACTGACACTGGTGATGTATCACCACTGTGCTAAAAGAATCGAACATGAATGAAATAAAAGTATTCTTGAATAGTACCATAGGTAAATAAACCTGTTTCTGACTAACCAAGCACTTAGTCCCTAATAGCTTAACCTGTATGGCAAGGTCAAATGTACTATTGAATGAGAGGACCAGTTGAACTTGATTACTGATTTATCTTCCTTTGTTTAATGTTTAAATTGAAGATGAATTTCAATAATTACTCTTATTGTATTGTGGTATAATAATATACAAACATTACAATTAGTCCCTTTTTTTTTNAAGAGTCAAACAATATTAATAAAACATTATATTTTTAAAAACAAATATTCTCAAGTAGATTTAATTATTAATATGTTATTAGTTCTATGTTTATTTCACCTTTTAAATGTTGTTCAGATAAAATTGTGACATAATTTGAGTAAAAGGGTTTTGCACAATGCGGTTTAAACCGTGGATTAATCCATTCTGTCCTAAACCTTGACAACCCTGATCTGAGGTGTTTCAAATAAATTCTGGTATCCACAATTTCATTCATAATTTGTAGATGCCCTTACCTAGAAAAAAAAAACCTTTCCGACAGATAAATTATGAAAGATAAAGTAATACCTCGTTATTACTTTAAATTTAAAAACCTATTCAAATTGGGCCGTTGAACCGGATATTAATGAAATTAAATATTTATTCAGATAAAAAGAAATATTTTTTTAAAATAAACTTATGAGGATTAATTGAATGGAAAACTTTTCATACTATTTAACAAATTGATTTGGAATTTTAGGCAGTTCTGAAATTGTTCTGAATTTCAATAATTACTCTTATTGTATTGTGGTATAATAATATACAAACATTACAATTAGTCCCTTTTTTTTTAATTGTGTTAAATTGAAATAATTTATAATTTTTGTCAGTATTTTTTACTTATCAAAAGACTTACTCTTAATTATTTATAACAACAATCCATACGTAATACCAGGGTTCCCACGGGTTGGGAGAACCTGAAATTGTCAGGGAATTTTATTTTAACTCCAAAAATCAGGAAATAGTATGGGGAAGTTGAAATATTTTTTTAAAAAAAGCCTGGAATATTCCTACATTTTACCTGGAAAATAACTAGTCTTAAAATTGTCAGAAACAGTAATCAGTTATTGAGATTCGAGTTACATAATTCTAATGCAGTGATTCTCAACCTTTTTTTGCGGTGGCACACTTTTAACGAATTCGAAATTTGACGGCACACAGTGAAAAATATTAGTTTAAAAGTTGTTTACTTACCTATAATGCACTGTGTTAGATAGTTTGTGATAATAATTTTGAATGTGAAATAAAATAATATGTACTACAAAAGCACGTTTATTAAGGGATTAATTATTTCTTTTGACTTATTTTTTATTAGTTAGTAGCAGTTTATTTTTTTTGCTAGTTATTAATTGTTAGCTTATTTTTTTGTCCTTTGTTAATTTGTTTTTATAACTATTAATTGCATAGCTTACTTTAATGATTAGCTTTTATTTCCGTTTGAAAGTTAATATTTAGCTAGATTTTCTTGGTTAATTAATAATTTTAATAGTCATTAAATTTCCTACTTATTTCAACATATTTTAAAATTGTCAGAGACAAGACAATCACCGACAAAGATGCTAACGCGGTTAGGGCATGGAAAAATTATAAAAAGTATATATAAATATNATATATTTACTTTAATTTAAACTTTACTTTAATTTATACTCGTAATGAAAAGAGCATCATAATGTTGTATCATTTCTAATATTTGGCGGCACATTTTAAGAATTTAATGGCACACAAAAGTGCCACGGCACAGTGGTTGAGAATCACTGTTCTAATGTGTATTACAATTTTCTATTGAAATAGTTGAACTGAAATGTTTCCATCCTCATTTAATGATATTTATTTCACATAGAAACTCTAATACTTAGCATTACAAAAAAAAAGAAAAAAAAAAAGTTTTCTGATGAAAAATTTTGTGATATAGATAAAATATGGTATGGATTTTCATTGTAATTTACCTGATATACCTGGAAAAGTCAGGGAATTGTTTTTTTTTTTTTAAATTGAGTGTGAACTCTGTTATACACATGTATGCGTAATGTATTGTATGTACAATATATTCGCATCATTATAATACTAAATATATTTACAATTAAAAATACATGAAGAAAAAACGCTAATTCCAATTAGTAAAGATTATATGAAGAAAAGGCATTTAAATTTATACACAGGAGTGTTGAAATGGGAGGCAGCTCTGACCTTAAAAAAGCTTTTCACTGTTCTGTAAATTTTACTCCTCTATTTGGCATATGTATGAAAATTCCTTATCTCTTATTTTATTTGGAAAACACAAATGAAATTATTAAACATTACACTTTTTTTCCTGGAAAAAAAAAGAATCCATAAGTATTGTTTTTTTATTTCTTTCATCTTCTTCAAGAAATCTAATTCCCTCCTTTGCCATTAAAAAGCCTGTTTCTCAATCACTCAGGTTTTTTCTTTGTGTTTCACCAGGGTTGTCTCTTCACAGGGAAAACCTGAAAAGTACAGGGAATTTAAAAATCATTTAAATTAATAGAGAAAATGCAGGGAATTTTGAGTTTGTCTTTACAAACAGGGAAAATATAGGGAATTTTGTTTCTTATTTTCGTTTTTCTAAAAGTTACCACACAAAGTGCAGAGAAAGGATGATATTTCAGCTATACTAAACTATTTAATATACTATGTTCAGATGTTCTTTTTTTTTAATCCTCCAAGTTTTTCTAGCAATTGAAACTAGTATAGTTCACACAAGAGCACAGTAATTGAGTTTCCTTTTAATATATGGCGTATAATATGTACAGGGAAAACTCAAGAGTTTTTTTTCTGCAGATTTCAGTGGCAACCCTGTTCACTTTTTAGTGTAATTATTGCTTCCTTTTCTAGAATTGAATTATTTCAAAATGTATGAAATAAATGTTGAAAAGTGCTATAAACTTATTATTGTAAATTTTAATGTTACACAAAGAAATAATACTTTTAAGCTATATAGTGGATTTTTTTATTATTCATTATTAAAAATAAAAAAGGTTTTAGTAGACTTTTCAAGCTCTAAAAAAGATTATTCACGCTTAATAATTTTTTAAAGATACCTATCATTCTGAAATGTCAAATATTTATTAATTATAGCTGAAATATGTTAGAATTTTTTTAAAATTACTTTGAGCTTTAAAAACTCAAAATAAAATGAAGAGTTCAATTATAATTCATCATTTTGGATAGATCATGCTTTTTATACGAGGGTTGTCCATAAAATAAGGTTCCCAACAAATTTTCACAATGAAAAACATGTTTATTAGCATTGAATAATACATGTTTGGAAAGCTTAGACTCTCCTCTTTTTTTCTGCATAATCGCCGTTTAGATCAATGCATTTTTACATGCGGTGTACCATCTTCTTTATGCCTGAGTTGTAGAACTCTGACGCCGCGCCGCAAAGATATCTTAAAACCTCTTCTTTCAGTTCTTCGTCGGTTGTGAAATGCATCCCTCCCAAGTGTTTCTTTAATTCATGAAAGAGATGGTAATCACTGGGGGCCAAGTCTGGGCTGTATTCCATCCAAATCTGTTGATGAGATCAGTTGTGGCACGGCAATGTGTGGACGAGCATTGTCCTGATGGAGACGCACTCCATTACTGAGCGCATTCCATTTGTTGTCGTCCGTCAGCATTTTCGGGACCCACCTTGCACAAACCTTGGCATGTCCTAAGCGGTCTCTCAAAATGTTGTGAATGCAGGACTTACTGACATCAGGGATCATCTCGCTGAGGTCCCAAACCGTCACCCTTTGATCTTTCAGCATTGCTTCTTCCATTTTCGCAATCGCTTTGTCCGAAAATGATGGCCGGCCGTAACGTTGTTCGTCATGGACATCTGCATGTCCGTCTTTGAAGTCTCTGCACCATTTGCGCACACGTTGCACACTCATACACTTTTCCCCGTACGCCTCACAGAGTTGGGAATGAATGTCCACCGGAGGAGCGTTTTTTGCACACAAAAACAAATCACAGAGCGTAATTTGTGCCTGGCGTGAGAAACAAATGGAAGCTCCATCTTTCACGACTACCAAGGCAAGAATTAACGTTGTAATAGAGATTCTTTAGATTTCAATATTTTTTATTTAAAATTTCATTTTTACTTTTAAAACATTTGTTAAACATAAACATTTGTTAGACAAAAATTTTGAATGTTGTTGTTAAACATACTGTTAAAACATGTTGTTCTCTCATGTTGTAGACTCGCCAAGTTCATCAAATGTTTCCTAACATGCCAATGAATATTATATTAGAGGATCTCAAGTTAACATTGTCTGTTGAAATGACAGTCGAAAATATATTAGATGGAAAACTAGTCCTCCCTCTGGTATGTCTTTTTACATCAAATTATTATTCACGGTGTTTTTACTTCAAATTGTTATTCAGTGTTTTTACATCAAATTATTATTCAGTGTTTTTACATCAAATTATTATTCGCGGTGTTTTTGCATTAATTATTATTCACAGTGTTTTTACTTCAAATTATTATTCACAGGGTATCTGCACACCTGGCAAGTCATGAGAAATCATGGAAAGTCATGCATTTCGGTATTGAGCAAAATTTGTCATGATTTTAACTATTTTTTTACAAAAATCATGGAAAGTCATTGATTTAGGTTGCTGAAAAATAAAATTTTTTAAATGGAATCTACTACTCCTTCCCCCCACTTTCACAGTGTTCCGAATATTTGAATTTGTAACAAAATCCCCATTCACAGTCATATTTTATTAAAAATATAAAATACTTTTATCATGTTCTTCAAAAAAATGAAAGAAAAAACATCATTTTTAGATTGAATTATCTTTTAAACTCTTCTGTGATTTCAGAAATTTTGTTTATTTTATCAATTTAAAATTCTATCTGAAGCAAGCCAGTTATTTGCAATTTTTTTTTAATTCCGAAATGAGAACAAAAAAATCGTTAGTATGTCTTTCCTTTCTGATGAATCCTTGATTCCGAGTATGTTTAGAATATAATATCTATATATAATATAATTCTGCAGAAGAATATAATATAATATACTATAATACCTATTTCGATGAAGAATAATATAATTCTGCAGAAAAAGAGAAAAGAAAAAATATTTGCTTTTGTAATTTTCTATTAATTAATTTTTAACAGCTATTTTATTGCTCCCACTCTTTCTTTGCTCTGTTTTTTAAATTAAAAATCAATAAATATGAAGATGCAGAGTATAACAGCTTTGGTTATTCCTATCATTTTAATGAATGTTATTATAATGCTTTTTTAAATTTATTGTTGTGTTTTTGTCGGAAAAAATAGTAACTTGGTTAAGTCATGAATTTGAAAATCTAAAATGTAGCAGATACTTTGTACTTGTGAGGATATATTTTATTAAAGCACTAAAGCTTATGCAATAATTTACTTCTAGAAAGTTTTTAGTAATTTATTATTTAAAATTTTTTTCCTTCGTCATCCCTTGTAATGCTGCAAAATACTTCATTGTTTGCAATGTCACATGATTCTGATAATACATACTGAATAATTGGTATTTGCAATAATTAATTATTTTTACAAATTTTATTAAATTGTTTTCAAACTAATGAACAACACTACTTTATTGCTTTATGTATAATGGCTATTAGTTATTTTTGTATTAGTTTCATATTTAAAGAATATGTACCTGATGTGTGTTTATTTAAAAAAAAAAAAGAAAAATGCTTGTGACCAGCAGCATAATTATATTCGATTACTTGTAACATAATTATATTATAAAATTTCAATAATGAAAAAGATTACATCCAAATAAATTTTCGCTTATTTCTATATAAAGGGAAAAAATGCATGTTTGCAATTCATGCATGTTCACTAATAACTCTTTGGTTTTTGAAAATCAGCACATATATTCTAATTTTTTCGGGCTTTCTGCTACAAACTTCCCTAGCACTGATATATTGCTTTGAAATACTTTGATTTATAACAATTACTAATTTAAAATAACAGAAACGCTGTATCTACAAAAGATAGTATGTATAGAGTAAAAACTTATACAAAAATTTTATTGTAAAAGTAATATTTTTTTTAATTCTAATACTATATGATGAGGTATTCTCGGATTTTGTAGGCAGATTTGTTCTGCCTTAGGAACTCCTTGGAAATAAGTCTCCAAGGAGTACTTGGAACTACGTAGATTTCTAAATTAGTCCTTAGAAACTCCTTAGATTACTGTGTTGCATAGATGAACTTACTAAGCATGCTGATGAATTTGCTGTCCAAACAGGGGAAACTAAATTATATGACTTAGCTGTCAAAATCTAATAGTTTAAGAAGGAAACTTTCAAAGAAAAGAAAAAATTGAATTGCAAGAGTTAGAAGAATAAAATAACAGCAAATAATTTTAATTTTACATGTTACAAGCAAACTTAATAATTTAGTGTGATTTTTTTTGGTATAAAATGTCTTAGAATTTCTTCTGTTTTCAAATTTAAAAATATAAAATTGGTAGGTATTTATGTTAATTTTTAACATCTGTACTTTAACAAGATTTATTAAAATGTTTGAAACTGGAAAATGTATTTGTATGTAAAAGTGATAACTTTATTTTTCTTGAGGAAGTTGGATGGACTAAGTCAAAATCTATTCCAAAAGGGCTAGAAAAAAATATGCAAACTATACGTTTTGCGAGTTCCTTATAATAACTGCTTTTTAATTTTTAAATTGTCTAGTTATCTTTTACACAAAGTTTTTAAATTTTTTAATAGTTCTTAAAATTTTGGACTCCTTGGATCTCTTCTTCTGATCTCTGTATGAACCCTGGTTATTAGTGAACATACATTTCAAACATTTTGATGGTTTATCAATCAACCGCTCCTGTAATCTAATGTAACATAGTTTTATTGTAAAAACAGGAGAAAAAAAACATTCCTTATACAGCCCGTTGTGCGCCAAAGGAGTTATGGAGGTTAAATCTGTTCAATTACGTGGCATGGTTTGGGACACTATAGTCAACATTCTGCACTGGCCGCCTTTACTTACTAGACAAGCTGTTAACCATCCATCTAAAGCGGGGAAGATCCATGATGCCTCAAGTTCCAGTCCATTACAATTAATGCCTTGATTGAACCACTGAACCGGCACGGTTCATTACATTGAAGATTATATATAAATTTATTATTGCCTACTTTTTTTTGCATTTGTGTAATTAAACTAAAGCCTAATAGAAGTTGGAGATTAATATTATTTGCTGCTTCATTTGTTGTTGTTTTTTTTTAAGTTTATTTTTAAGAAGAGTGAAAGGAAAAAAATAATTGCAATTAAAAGTGGGCAATGCATAAATGTTATAATAATACCTGCTTTCTTATAGAAGTAAATTTTAAGGAATAATGTAAATAAATGAAGATGATAATTTGAATCTTGCAGTCTACTACGGGCACTCTTAAAACAATAGAATCCTAGTACTTTTTTAATTACAGAGATGGTTGTGCTCCGAAAAAAACGGATTTCAGGATTTTTTCAGAAGCCCAAGGTCCAGAAGTTTCCAGAAATCATGGATCACATTTATGTATAAAAATTCTTGTATATTTTATTTAGAAATATTGGAACTAGAATTTATACTTGGCAGCTCATTTATTTGTAAATATTTTTTCTGGTAGAATATTTTTATTCTACCAAAATACAATCTATTAATATCTATAATATTATATATCTATTAATGTGATTAGAGATAAAAGTAAACTCTTACATTATTATTCATTTAAATTATGCCGCCTAAAATTTATTTAGAATTTCATGTTTTGAAAATATCAGAAATTTGAATTTTATAAACTCAAATTATAGATATTAATTTTTTGAAATGTGTCATGAATGATTTCACTCAAGAAATTTTCAGGATTTTTGAGTTGGGCTCACAATCACCCCTGTAATTATAAGGGTTGTAAATTTCATACTAGTAAAAATTTCTTTCATCTACGATTTAGAAAAATATTAATCTTTTAAGTGGTTGTCAAGAAAAAGTTTATAAAACTCAATGTAAACCAGAAAAGTTTGTTTTTTATATAATTTCTTTCAATATGAAGTTAGATGCGCCATTTGGCTGATTTTTTAATTGATTTTTTTTTAGAAACTGTAGCAGGGTGCTTAGCGTTTTTAAAAAGTGCTTAAAGGTGCTTATTTTTGATTTTCGTTTCTTAAAAGCCCTTAAAAGGGCTTTTTTCATTGGGTGTTTTTAAAAGGTGCTTAATTTTCCATTTTTCAAAATGAGATTTTTCCTTTACCATGCTGATTTTCGCTATGAATTATGCAAAAAGACACAGTTCACATTGTTCTATTCAATGTTTTAACAATTAATTCAACCCCAATATATTTCAGTCCGTAGCATATGAAAACGCCATTCGTTTTACATATTTCAAAATTTCATGATTTTTGACAATTGTTAAAAACAATGTCAAAAAAAAATTTTTGGACGTGGCGATTAATACAAGATAAAACCGTGAATTGTCAAAAACTTTCCAATTGTATCTAATTATGGTATTTTTTTAAAGTGCTTAAAAATATTTTTTGAGTGCTTGAAAAGTGCTTAAAAGGTGCTTATTTTTTGTTGAACGCCTGTGTAATAAAATAATTCAAAATGTACCCTTATTTTAAATTTTTTTTTGAGGTTTATAAAAGTGTGATGAGCTTGATCTTACCCTATTCAGACATTGGTTTTTGTTTCAAACAGAAACTTATAAATTAGGGAATGCTTGTCTGGTACCGAAATTCTTTCGTTTGGCCAAAGTAACTGTTTTGCTCTTAGAGAATAACTTTGTTCTTTAATTTTTTTAATGTCCATTAAAGGCTACAGAGAATCTGTTGGGGAAGCAGAAAGCACTGTCAGCATGTCGAAATCAGTTCAATTACATCGATGATGCTGTCTTCCCTGCTGACAGCTACGAAGTGGAAGAACTAGACAGGTGAACTCCTCCTTTCAATCCATCTTAACCTATTGAAATCTCATAGAACTTTTGAAGCTAAAATATCCATTTTAGTGGCATTAAGACACATTTCAGAGTTGCCACTCCACAACAGGGAAAATGCCGGTAATTTTAAGTTTTTCCTTACAAACTGGGAAAATACAGGGAATTTTATTTCTTATTTACGTCTTTTAAAAGTGGATATGGGATATTTAAGGATGATATTTCTGTTCTAAACTATTTCATTTACAATAGCAAACGTGAAAATGAAAAAAATTGGAAAAAATATGACAATTAAAGCTGACGTCAAGGGGTACCAGCTTCAGATGCAGGGTTGCCACAGGCGACTTAAATACGACTATTTGCAACTATTTTTGAGCTGAGTCGACTATGGCAACTTTTTTTGCCTGAAAAAGCTAAGAAAGCAACTATTTTTAGGAAAAGGAGACTATTAGGAGACTTTTCTGTGTTTGTGTTTTTTTTAAATGCTATGTTTTTTTGTAGCTATGTTTTTTTTAAAATTTTTTTAGAGCGTAAATTGGGTTGACAACCTGCGGCAGCTTCTTCTGAACACAAAATAAGAAATGTTATCACTTTTTCAAATAAGAAATTGCAAATTTCTGAATTTCAAATATGAAATTGCAAATTTGTCAAAGAAGAAATTGCAAATTTGAGTTGTCACTTTTTAATGCGCTTAATTTGAACAGATTCCATTGTAAATCTATTTTGTTTCTCAATCACCTTTTCAACGGTTATTACTACGAAATTCTGCATGATTTCAGAAAACCCAATTTTTAATACGATATTACTATGTGTGAATTTCAAATTTGAATCATCATCACTTTTCACAATATATTTGCTAAATCAATTATTAGTTAAACTTAAAATTTTTTAGGAGAAATGTGTTCTTTTTTAATAAAAAAAACATTTTTTTGAATGATTTCAAGTAATTGAAGTATTTAATTTTCTGCAAATATACAAATTTTTTTTATATAAAAATTTACTTCTAGAACACTAATGTTTATATCAGGGTTTGTTGATTTAAATCAGCTTGATTTAAATCACGATTTAAATCATGATTTAAATCAAAAAAAAAAATTTTATCTATATATATTGATTTTAAAAGTCAAAAAACAGTGTTTTAAATTTTTGATACTTTTATTATTTTCTTTTCTTAGTATTAAAATTTAATTTAAATAAATTGCTGCATTAATTANTTTCAGCAACTATTTTCACGCTTTTGGCTACTAACAGCCACTATTTTGTTCCTTTTTTTCTGTGGCAACCCTGCAGATGTCATAAATGCAAAACTTTTTCTGTCGAGAAAGCAAGACAAAAGTCCAAAAATTGCCTTCTCTGTACCCCAAAAGTTTTGCCAAAGTCCTGGGGAAAAAGAAATTTAAATGATAATGGTTTTTCTTTTAATTTCTGTAATATTGATTTTAAAATTAAGAAAATAATTGAAAATTATTAGTTTTTCATTTGGTTTAGCAAAATTCAAATCTTGTTCAAGTCTCCTTGCTCAAGCTTTTCTTTTAATGATGTCACTACTTTCTTTAACATCTGTCCTTTTTTTCTTTAAACTGCGCTGGATAGAGGTTGTTTGTTTTTCTGTTTATTTTATTTCAGTTGTGATTTGCAGTTGGTTTGGGATACTTTACTATTGGATTTTTTATTTTTCAAGTCAGGAGAAAATAGTAACTTTGTTAAGTCATGAAAAGTTCTTGGAATTAGTCATGGAAAGTCATGAATTTGAAAATCTAAAATATAGCAGATGCTCTGTAAATGTGCTAAATAATTATCAGGACATACTTTTTAATTAGGGGAGTGTCGGGTACCCCCACCCACTGTCAATTTCATATGTATAGAGCATTTTTTCAAGTCAATGGGCCATCGGACATTAATTGTTTTATTTAAAAAAATTATTTTTAAAGTTTCAAGTATTTATGTACCTGGTAACATGGTGAACAATAATTTTGAAAATATGTTGAATACAGTAGTCAAATTTTTTAAATTTCTATTTTAAGTTAAACTATTCTTTTTTTGGTTTATTCTTTTTGCATTACAATATTCGATTTTGCATTATTTAATTAGATGATAAAACAATAGAAACATACAAAAACATTGATTATTACTCAATATTATACAGAAATATAAGCAATACTCCTTAAGTGGGTGGGGGGCTACCTGACTCTCCCCTATATATAGTTGACATGTTAGGAAAGTGGATCAGATTATTAAAAATCCATGGAGGCAGCTCTTTTTTACACAAAACCATTCTAAGGAAGATGTTTTATTGTTTCAGATTTCCTGATCTGATGAGGATGCACATAGCCTCTCCCCTCGGATGTCGCTTCTCAAAATCACCCGAAGAGAGAGAACGAATATTGGCCAAAAGGAAGGAGAACCTTCTCAAGCAAGCAAGGAGGTCGTCTATTCATCTTTTTAAACACTCAGCGTTATTCTTTTCAAAAATGGGTTTTTTTCTTCTTTTTTTTTTATATAACAGAAATGCTGCAAAGGCCATGAATATTCTTTATTTACTTTTTAATTTCAGCACCATACATTATAATACTCAGGGCTGATTGTGCTCCGGAAAAAATCCGGATTTCCGGAATTTTTGCTAACAGTGATCCGGAAGTTTCCGGAGATCGAAGGTCCAGACCTTTCAAAAAATCATTGATCACAGAAGTTTCCGAAAATCAAATTTTCAAGGGTGGAACTTAAAAACACAGTTTTTGTAAGGGCGAGTCAGAAAGATACTCTATAAGCTTATATTCATGATTAATATTCATTTTTTATCAGTAAATAGTTGTTATAATCATAAACTCAAGAAAGAAAGACATATTTGTAAATTTTAATTACTTCTCCAGATCATCATAGGTATGTGTAAAATTTTAAATATATTTTAAGTAAACTAAGAAATATTAAGGAAAAGGAAAAAAAAACCTTGTTTAATTTTTTTCTGATTTTTCAATTTAAACTTGTTTTTTTTTTTTTTTTTAACTCAAGAAATTTTCTGGAATTTTGACTTGGGCTCACAATCACCCCTGAATACTTTTTCTGTCAAACAATTTTTTTAATACCCTAATAATAACAATGTCTTACGACAATTAGTAACATAAGTAGTAAAGTTTTGTATTTTTTAAAAGCAAACTAAATTAAAACAATATCCAGGGCAAATTTACTGCCGTTTAGCAGTACCTTCACAAATTCAACTTTATGAAATTCGGTAGTTTCACAAAATAGTTTTAAAAAAGCAAGTTCGGAGATATTCTCCTTTCCGCCTCTTAAAATTTTGTTTTTGTATCTCCGTGAGAAACAATNCAAGAATTTTTCAGGAATTTTGACTTGGGCTCACAATCACCCCTGAATACTTTTTCTATCAAACAATTTTTTTAATACCCTAATAATAACAATGTCTTACGACAATTAGTAACATAAGTAGTAAAGTTTTGTATTTTTTAAAAGCAAACTAAATTAAAACAATATCCAGGGCAAATTTATTACCGTTTAGCAGTACCTTCACAAATTCGACTTTATGAAATTCGGTAGTTTCACAAAATAGTTTTAGAAAAGCAAGTTTGGAGATATTCTCCTTTCCGCCTCTTAAAATGTTGTTTTGTATCTCCGTGAGAAACAATAAATCCTGTGTTAATTCCGCATCTACGAATAGTTAGCTTGGTCAGATAGTGTGTTATGGTAAGCATTACCGATCGCTGACGCCATATTATGGCGAGCTTCTTTTTTAATTAAGCACCCAAGGCGCTCCCTCTGTTAACTTTACGGGAAGTTGAACTTTGAACATTATTCTAAGCAATCAAACATTGTTCTATATTTATTCCAACAGACCTTTATTTTTTTTAAAGCATTTTTTTCTCTGTGAAACTTTTTTCGATATGACCTCGTGGGAAATGTTCTCCTAATAAAAATAACTTTAAGTGCAAGTACTGTTAAGTGCATGTTTTTTCTTAAAAATTCGAGCTGAAATTTAACAATGGACAATGATTGTTATGGTTTTTTAAATTTGGATACAATTTTAAGCCCAAATTTTTGCAATAGCAAAATTATTTTTGGATTTATGGGGAAAAATATATAAAAATTTACCATATTTTGTGTTGATTATTAAAATATAATTTTTAATTTTCACGAATTATGTCTAAATTTTCATAAAATAGGTACCTCTCATTAAAACCTAGACAGACCCCTGATATTAAAATGCCATAATGTACCTGTATCCTATGAAATTATCAATAGTTTCTTTAACGAAAGGTTTTTTCTCGTCGCATTGTTAATAATCTACAAAAATAAGTAGCTTTTAATATTTTCTTGTTATTAAATAATTAAACGAGGTAGCACTAAAATATTTTTGATGTAAGATTTATAAATGTTTGAAATAAAATATAAAATAACCTATCTCTATATAAAATTGTATTTCTACATAAAGTTAACTAGAAAATAATCTATATCTATATGAAAATAATCAATATAATATTAATTAAAATAAACTAAACAAAATGATAAAATTATAGATCTGTCACTTTATTTAGGTTACTGTTGTTAAAAGCATTTTGGATTTAAATATTTAAAAAATATCATTATTTCAAAAGAGCTTTTAAAGACTTAAGAGAGTTCAGATCAAAACAATTTTTTTTCAATATTTTATTTAAATGACTACGAATTTCCACCTCTTAAGTGCTTCAAAGTTTATTTAAAAAAAAAAAGAAAACAAAATAGTGTGACATCCACCGAAACTGATTTATATACTTTAAAAAAATATAAGAAAAGAGATTTTATATTGTAACTGTCATTGAACAGTCGACCCAAATTTGAGTTTACTCCTACCAATGTTAGACTCCGTAGCCTTGTAATTTTGAACCCGATCCAGAAGACAAGGGAGTTTTGGATGAGTACTCCCAGATGCATTGATTTGTTATGGGGTCTTGGAGAACTTTGTGACCCTGACAGATTTAACGTGCACCAGTCACCATTTAATACACTGGAGTTCTTCAGCTGTTTTGGTTCGAACTCCCGTTCCCACGAACGCGAGCCCAACGCCCTAACCACCAGGCTATCAAAGCCCTTACAATAAGGGAATTTTTATTTTATCCGTCGGCGAACGGCCGACCCAATTTCAAGTTTATGACTACTAATGTTCCACTCCTTAGCCTTGTCATTTTGAACCCATCCAGAAGATAAGGAATCTCCAGTATCAGTACCTTCCGAGGTATTGATTTGTTATGGGAATATGGAGAACTTTGCGACTCGACAGTTTTAACCTGCACCAGTCACCATTTACTGCACAGGGAGTCTTCCACCGCCGGGGATCGAACCCACGCACTCTTGTAGTGCCTCCCGACCAACCCTACCTACCAACCAGGCTATCCTGTCCATACCTGCCAACTTTTCATCCTTTTGGGGATGATTTTCCCCAGTGGTAGTAAAATAGAATTTAAATTACAATTTTAAGCAGTCACATATGCTGTGTTTCGAAAAAGCTTAAGCGGATTACCACGAAAGTATTGCATATTTATATACTTGTGTAATTTTTTTAAGAATAGTGGTAGTCTAGAAAATTTTAAATTAAGTTTATAAATGCAAGGAATATATAGAAAGCATACATTTTACTACCACTTTAAATATAGAAGTAAAAGTTTACTCCAATTGCGTAAAAGTTGGCGTTCCCTTAGAATAGGAGATTATAGTAATAAAAAGTTTTGACAACCTGCAATTTGTACTCTATCAAAAAATTATAATAGATTACTGTAAGAGTTTTTTTTTGGGGGGGGGCGTTATCTATTTTTCTGCCCCTTCCTCTTACTATGCCACAAATGTCAATAAAAGTTGCTCATTTTTGTTCCAAGAAATAAAATAAAAATTCAGTTAATTGATTGTGTAGTGTTGCTACAACTCTTTTTTTCCCTTTTATGAGTATCAGTCAGCCTATTTCTGCTCAATCTGTATCAGATAGCCTCTCTGTGAATTGGCAGACTAAAACTGCTTATTTTATTCACATAGGGGGCTATCTTAGACAGTTTGGGGCAGAAGTAGGCTGACTGATACTCATGAAAGGGAAAAAGAGAGTTCTAAGCAACACTACAATTGTTGAAATCTTTGTTTTCAGGAGGTATCTCTCTAAATGCCAAGAGAATGAAAGCTGAGAAGAATCAAAACTGTCTTTTACCAAGTCTTTCTCTCTCCTCCTCCCCCCTCCCCCCTGTACATTCATGCATTCATCTCTCATTCATTTACCTTCTATCATATTTTGTTTTTAAAAGATTAGTGACAATTGTTGTGACAAATGCAATGTGTAATTTATATTCATTGGGATTATTATTATTGACTCAAAGTGTAGTTTTACTTTCAGTTGTTGTTGTTGACATTCAGCTCAAATAGATTTATCATTCATCGTGGGATGAACAAACAAACAAACAAAATAAAATGAGGTGTTGTTCTGGTGCTTTTTTAAAAGTGAATTTGCCAAATTAGAAAAACATGCTTATTTTGATTTTTATGTGTAGTTTAATTTAAATGATTCTGTGATGTGTAAAATAAAAGTGATTTTTAAACTGTTTCGTGTGCAATCAATTCGTGTAAACAATTACAGCGACAGCCTTTATGCAGAGATGATTGTGCTCCGGATTTTTCGATGACCACGATTCCATGAAATCCAGAATTCTGGAAATCCAAGGTCCAGAAGTTTCGAGAAATAATCGATCGCTTTTATAAATAAAAATTCTTGTATATTTTATTTAGGAATATTAGAGCTAGAATTTATACTTGGCATATTTTCCATTTGTAAATATTTTTTTCTGGTAGAATAATAAATATCCGCGCACCTGGAAAGTCATGAATTTCGGTATTGAACAAAATTTGTCAGGATTTGAACTTTCTTTTAAAGAGAAAAATCATGGAATTGGGTCGCCGAAAAATCTAATTTTTAAAATGGAATCCCCCCCCCCAAATTTCATGGTGTACCGAATATCTGAATTTGTAACAAAATCCCCACTGACAGTCTTGATTTATCAAAATATAAAATGCTTTTATCATATTCTTTAAAAAATTATGGTGTTCTTTCAAAAAATGAAGAATAAACATTTCTAGAGCCAATTACATACCCTCCAACTTATGAGGATTTTGAAAATAACTCTTTCTAGTGGTAGCGATCCAAAGTAGAAATTTTTAAAGCAAATGGATATCTCATAAAACTTTTATCAGAACTTAAGAATCTAGCCATATGGCCTGCACTTTTATAAGTAATAGTGGACAAGTTACGCTAAAATTAATTTTTTTT